GTGTCCAGTGTTGTTGCAGCTCCTACATTGTAAGATTTCAGGTTTGGCAGGTACAGATACCTAAACTAGACAGTTGAGTATTTTTAAGTAATTAAAATTTATCAAAGTGAGGAGTTTAGATATAATAGCTTAATAGACAGGAAACACATACACAGGTGACTGCTGAGGGTCTTCACTGATAGCAGAGCTGATTAGGACAGACTGTGTTGATCACAGTAGTTTGTGACGGCAGCATTCTGCTCTCTAACCAAAGTGTTAGGGAACTCTTCCTTTGGTCTTCCTCCATCTTTCCTGATCCATCTTCCAGCTGAAGAAAGCAGCTGTCTAACAGGACTGCCACCTAACAAGGACTGCTCCCTGCTTTGAAGTAATCATTAATAGAATTTACTGTATTTCCTGGGGCTGTAGTTTACCTTATGTCAATCACTTCTTTGAATCGTTCTTACCAATGAGTACAGGACAATAACCGAGTATGTCAGGATGGTCACCTTCTCTGTCCATCATTCAGCTCAAGGTCCACTTTTTGTTTACATTATACCACTGCATTTTTCCTCACCCTTTTAAACACTCACACAGATAAGGGGTAAATAGGATGCCAAGAGGCTCCCTGAAATTAGTTCAGGATTTACCTCAATAACTTGAAATTTGGAAATGAGTTGCTGATGGCAAAATTTCCAACCCTCGAACTGTTCTTGTAAACAAAATGTTTACATAGCTGGCCTAGTTCAGTTTCAGGTCCATGATAATCCTCAGGATGCTAGTCGGGGAATTCAGGGATGGTATACCATTGAAAAGAGGAGATGGTTAGATTCCTTCTTGTTGGAGATGGTCATTGCCTTACACTTGTGTGGCATGAATATTACTTGCCACTTGTCAACCCAAATCTGAATATTGTCCAGGTCTTATTGTGTTGGACATGGATTGCTTCAGTATCTAAGGAGTCACGAATAGTGCTGAACATTGCGTATTCATCGGTGAACATCCCACTTTTGACCTTCTGATGAAAGAAGCCGCTGAAGACGTTTGCGCATACTTCTGCAATGATGTCCTGGGACCACCACAATCTTCAGTATATCATCTGATCATCGTGCACTTTAATTAGTTAGCATTATTAACATAGAAAAAGCCAAATACATTTAATGTAATAAAAACAAACATACAACTACAAAACACATACTACTAATGGTAACATGTCAAAGACAACATTCTGAAGTCAATCTGCACATCATATGGGGCAGTGCACCATACCTGCCACTCAGACTCAGGTATTTGTTATCATCTATATACAGTCCATACAGTAACCATTTGGATGTCGAATGACCTCCCTGTCCTGGACGATACAGTGTGGAGCTACACGAACACAGCAGGTCAGGCAGCATCAGAGGACCCCGGCCCGAAACTCCTCTCCTACTCCTCTGATGCTGCCTGACCTGCTGTGTTCATCCAGCTCCACACTGTATCAACTCTGAGTCTAGCATCTGCAGTTCTTGCTATCTCTCTCTATCTTGGATACTTGTCCTCAATACTCATGCGGCCATGGTGGATGATTTTTCAATCACTTAGCTCTGAAAATCAGCAGCAGTTGAAGTGTCAAAGAAGCTGATAGTTTTGAGATAAGCTGCATGAAGAATTTGTATTTCTGGATCTTGAAGAAATGCATGAGTCCATTTTTTTCCAGCCATTTCCCTCTGGGTCCCATGATGAACCTAAACAACTTAATGAACCAGCCAACCATTAATTCCAGAATCTCCTCCTTAAAGTGTTGATATTTCAAGTAATTTTCCTCCCAAGCCATCTCTAATGATTTATGATCATCTTCATACCATACTGTGACGCCCACCACTACAATTTCTTCTTAAGTACTAAGTCCAGGTTCCAAAGTGTCCCACCCTTGGCAAAAAGACTTGCCAAGCCATGTATCTAGAGGTGAGCTGATACAGACAATCCAAAATCTTGTGTCATTTTACTCATCCATTTTTTTCACAAATAGGCATATTTAAAAATGTGTAGAAATGATTTGACCATAGCCCTGCATCTCCTACAGGACTTGATAACACTCAGCCATTCCATAGTTACTGTCAATCTTGCTGGGTACAATTTGATTTGAGTAGTAAACTTAATAAGTTTTGACTATCGTATGAAGTTTTGAACCAAGTGTCTGAGTCAATGTTGTTTTTATAATATTTTGTTCTGATTCCTTGACTTTGAAGTTTGGTTCACTTTATTGAATTGAATTAGCTTTATTGTCATGTACTCAAATGAGTACAGTGAAAAGTTTATAAGTCGCCACTTACAGCACCATCTTAGGTACAAAGGCACCTTTGTACAATCCTTAATTACAGAATAGAGAAATGAAGAAAAAGTTACATTACAGCTATACATAATATAACCACAGGTCAGAAAAACAAGAAACAAAGTTAAAAAGTCAAATATCACAGTCTATCCCAAAGGTTGTCCGCAGCAGACCAGCGCAGTGGGCCTCCACGTGGTCTGACCGTTGGCTGCCACCATGCTCTGCACTGGGCTGCTGGCATCCCCTCTCTGGCTGCTGGTTGCTGGTGTCCCTGCTTCGAGCCACTGGTCGCTGGCATCCCTGCTCCAGGCTACTGGTGACCCCAATTGGGGCTGCCAGTCACTGGCGTCTCCACTCCAGGCTGCTGGTCGCCAGCGTCCTCACTCCGGTCGCCAGTGTCTCTGCTGTCTGCCAACCCTGGTTCGGACAATATCCCTTCAAACTGTATCTATTGATAAATTTGCCCTTAGTTCCAGTTCAATGTCTGCCCATCACATGTTGATAGGTTCCCTGAGTTCGCCTCTTCGTGAGGCAGCCCGGACCTCTCGCCAAAGATGCCTTTCCAATCTCACAGAACTTTGAGACTGTTCAAAGATTCGGTAGCCTTGGTGTTATTTTGCCCACTGTATTTAAACAAAGTCAGATCACTTCGTAAGGTGAACCCTCTGGTGGATACCTATTCTTCTGCTCACATTTCTGTAGTATAGGATCCCATTGGTGATAAGTTGTAGAAAATGACTTTTTCACTGAGTTCTTGATTTTATAGTCCAGTTTAACCAGATATTTTACGAATATGTCTGCTAGCATCAAAATAAAAATATATTCTTGGAATTGCATGAGTATTTTGGATTATGGTTCTTTGGACAGGTAGCAGCTCTGCATTCTTCAAGATTGAAGAATATAGGTCTTCAACCATTGAGATGAAGTGTTGGTGGCCCCATTTTCTGAGGAACGTTTGTGACCATTTTATGTCTGATTCAGTTGTAAGCCTTTGCCAAGGTCATTTCTGCTGCTTTTTGCCCTTGTGTTAATTCCATTTAAGATGGCAATATTTTCATTGTATCCTGAGGTTGCCACTGGGAATACCTTCTGCCTTGAGTTGATTTCCGCAACCTTGCTCAATCAGTTCGTAATAATCTTAGCGAAGAAACCTAGTATCATCAGGCCAAAATTAGCTCAAAGACAGAAGTGCAATTGTTGATGGGCATTCGTGCAATTGGAAGCAGGGCCATGAACAGAAATCATCATCTGCTTCTGGCCTGGACCACCCACCTCTGTCGCCTTGACCTGAGCACAATGGGCCCCACCCATTTGGCCCTGATGTCTTTATCTGAATGAGGTTCTTACTGGAAGGCTGTTTCTGTTGTGGTTCCATTAAGCTCAGTGCTAGGTCCCTTTCTTTTTATGGTATACAATAACAGTTTGTTAATGTAAATTTAGGGGGCATGATCAAGGAATTTGCAGATGACACAAAAATTGACCATGTGGTTGTTAGTGAGGTAGATAGTTATTGACTCCAGAAAGGTATCAATGGACTTGTCATTTAGGCAGAAAAGTAACAAATGGAATTCACCCTACAAAAGTATGAAGTGATGCATTTGATGAGATCAAACAAGCAAAAGAAAGCACAATTAATGGGAGAGTACTGTGAGGTTTAGAGGAAGTGAAGGATATTAGAGTGAATGTTCACAGGTAGTAGGGCAGATAATGTGGCTAAGAAGATACATGGTATCTTTTCTTCTATTATCCAAGGTATAGAATACAAGAGCAGGATGTTATTTTGGAACTATGTAAATCATTTGTCAGGCCATAACTTTAGTACTGCATGCTGTGCAGGTCATTTGATTGTAGAAAGGATGTAGTTGTGTGAGAGAGGATACAGAGGAGATTTATGAGGATGTTGCTAAGATTGGAAACTGCAGCTATGCGGAAAGATTGGAGTGGCTGGAATTGTTCTCATTGCTACAGAGAAGGCAGAGGGGAGATTTGTTTTGAGATGTACAAAATTATGAGAAGCTTGAATAGGATGAATCAGAATGGCCTAATTACCCTAGAAGAGAGATCAGTAACAAAGTGACATAGATTCAAATTGATTGTTAGAAACATTAGAGGAGAGATGACGAAAAGCTTTAACAGTGGTAGGGGTCTAAAACCCACTGCCTGGAAGGATGTTGGAGGCAGAAACCCTTAACTCATGTGAAAGGTGTGTGGAAAGACACTTACAGAGTTATGGACCAAATATAAAACAGTGTGTTTGTGTTGGATGGCTCATTTATTGCTTGTGTAGACACAATTGACCCAGTGGACTTTTTCTGCGTTATGTTTCTATAATTCTGTGGATTCTATGAATACTAAAGTAAGCGATTCAGTTCATCAACAAAAACAACTTAATTAGTTTTACTACACTAATACAATTCATTTGCAAATTGGTTCCAAGGCAACATTGTCATTAACAGTGCAATTTTGAATATGTGTCACTAGAGGGCACTAGAGGGATCTGATCAACAACAAATCTGTTAATGGCTAATGTCTTTAGAAGATCTATCGGGTTAATCTCAGATTTAACAATAATAGAGTTGGTAAAGTAATTCAATAACAAAATTGCCATTTATACTGTTTGTCAAATCCATTTTTAGAAGGTATCCCTTTAAAGAATGAGTCACTGGAATAGTACGTGAGTTGTGTGACGTTCCTGTTAATTCCTCAGAGTACGATCGAAAACAATGAAAAGAGAAGAATCTGTTCCAGTTCATTCACCAAGACCACTGCCTTGGAATCCTGCCAGTTTACGAAAGTTGCAGCTGTACTTTCCCACTCCCCTTGCAGTCTGACCCTGTATTTCCGTGCTGGTGCATGTCACAGAAACTTGGACAATAGACTACCGCTTGTCACAATATTTGACCTTGGACAATCTAGAGACTGGTGGAAATCGTCAAGTTAAGTCTAGCTACGCTGAATAAGCAAACCTAAAAAATACTCCATAATTCCGTAATGGAGCAACTTAATATACTTATTTTATACTCTGCCAATTTCTGCTGATTTCTAAATGCTATATAAATGCAATTTTTCAAGACACTATTCTCAGTCCCTTTAATATGCTGACATTTTCGTTGACATCTGTACTTCTATTTAATAGACATGCTCTGAGATCGTATTATGAAGAAGTTTGTTCCTGAACCTTTTCCTTCCTACGCTTTCTACAGAAATTGCAAGTGAATGAAAATGTTTGGGGCTCAAGACACTTTTATATTTTTTGTACACTTAAGACCTATTTCTTGTGAACAATTAACAGAACACCACTTTAAAAATTAAACTATTAATAGAAAATGAATGGGAATAATGGAACTGTTGTAACATTTATTTTAAATTCTTGATGTTGCACATATCAGGTGAATTTTAACTTGCAAGTGTTCATGGGTTTGGGGGCAGGCATTCAATTAGACTTATATTAATAAAGCTTACTGAATTTATTTGTGGGTAAACGGATTTCATGGACACATAGCAACAACAAAGGAGGCTGAAGACATGACAGGAATGTATACCAATAGATGCTGAAACCTCACTCTTCTTTCTTGCCCCATAATGCTAATCCGAATATGCACAAGATTTCTGGGAAATTGTCATTCTATTTCTTCAGCAGTTGACCCAACCAAATCATTTTGCACCTCAAAGTAGATTTACCAGCGGCTGCCTGGAATCAAGAAATATCCAGTTAAAGAATGGCTGATGATAGCCATGAGGAGTCCACCAAATATTCAGTAATGGTCTCCAAGCTCCAGCAGAGTTCAGCTTGGAGAGTCCCATGGCCTCCAATGCAAAACTCCACTAATACCCATGACCACCATCTGCCCTCTCAACTTCTGTACTTGAGTATACATGACAATAAAGCTTAAATTTGGCATGTCCATAAGGTCCCTTACCAACTTCTACAGATGCACCATTGAAAGCATACAGTCCGGGTGCATAACGGCCTGGTATGGCAACTGCTCTGCCCAGGACTGTAAGAAACTATAGAAAGTGGTGTGCACAGCCCAGACCATCACGGAAGCCAACCTTCCATCCATGGACTCCATTTACATGGCCCTCTGCTGGAGAAAGGCTGCCAACATCATCAAAGACCCATCGCACCCTGGTAATGATCTACTACAGCCTGTTCTATCAGATAGAAGATACAGAAGCTGAACACATGCACAAGCAGGTTCAGGAACAGCTTCTTCTCAGCCATTATCAGACTGATGAATGGACTCTCTAGCCTCAAATAATGCTGATCTTGCTAATGTTCTCGCCTAGTGTACGCCCTATGCAATGTAACCTGTATGCCTCTGTCTAAGTTGGCCAAGCAGCATCAGAGGAGCAGGAAAGCTGACGTTTCGGGTCTGGACCCTTCCTCAGAAATTTCTGCTGTGTTCATCCAGATCTACACCTTGATATCTCAGATTCTCCAGCATCAGCAGTTCCTACTATCTCTGCCTCTATGTCTTTTTTGATGTGTATATCCTTTGCTTAAAACGATATGCCTGTACCGTGTTAAACAAGGCTTTTCACTGTACTTCGGTATATGTGACAATAAATCAATCAATCAATCAATAAATCAAATAAGAGTCACCAGATGAAACATCAATATTCTTCGATCAATCCCATACCACTGAAGTGTGAGCATCGGAGTTGGCGCATGGTCTATTTGAGTGCTCTGCCTTCAGAATGAGTGACTTCTCTGAGGAGTTGTCATTGTTGTCTTGCACCATCTCCTGCAGGACATTTGAAGGCTCTGTATGAGGTTAATGACATGAATAGAGCTGTAAAGGCAAGAGTGCTTTAAGTGAACGTTATGCTCATAACCATAGTTTACCTGCTGCTGACATCAAGTCAATAAAATCGCTTTCTGCCTTGTCATTGTTGATATTTCATTCTGTAATTATGATTGTAGGAAGCACCCAGTTTCCCTTCACTGAAGGTAAGCACACTGACACTGCATTGATGCCTGGCTCCTGATCTTTGCAGCTGTCAATTATGAAACTGTTATACAGTAATATAGCTTGGAAACAGACCTTTCAGTCCATGGTGAACATAATCCCAAATTACATTAGTCCCACTGCCTGCTCCTGGCCTATAATCCTTCAAACCTTTCCTATTCATGTACTTACCTAAGTGTCTTTTAAACATTGTAACTGTGCCCATATCCATCACTTCCTCAAGAAATTCATTCCACATGTGAACCACCCTCTGTGTAAAAAAATTGCCCATCATGTCTTTTTTAAATCTCTATCCTCTCACCTTAAAAATATGCCCCATTGTCTTGAAATCCCAGATCCTAGGGAAAAGACACACAGCATTAACCCTATTTAAACTCCTCATTATTTAAAAAATCTCTATAAGGTAACTTCTCAACCTCCTATGCTCCAGTGAAAAATTTCCCAGCTTATCCAGCCTTTCTTTACAACTCAGACCTTCCATACCCAGCAACATCCTGGTAAATCTCTTCTGAACCCTCTCTAGCTTAACAGTTGGTGGGTTACCAAAAGTTTCATCATCATGTTTTTGTATTGTCTTCTGTAAGGAAGGAAAGAAGAAAGCTTTCAGTGCAAGCAAAGGCATGTGTTGACTGGACGGATGGGGAATGCTTGTTGAGGGTAACCACGAAGGAGAGGCATGGTATTGCATAAAGATATAGGTGGTTCACTGGTGGATGGACAAATAAGGATATAAGAACTGCATAAATAGAGAAGGATGAGTGCAACTGTAACGTAAATTGGTGTAAGGATTAATGTGCCAAAGTGGTATTGAAAATATAGAGTGAGGCCATTGGCATGGAACACACAAGTGTCTTGCTGAATGTGCCAATATACTTATCTTTAATGATTATGTCATTAAAATGCTTTCAGCATCAAATCTATGAGTGTGACATCACACTCCTGCTGCTGACTTCCTCTGCAACCCCCAGGCTTCTTGGTTTCACTGGCAGGCTTCTTTCTCCTGTCAGGAGAAAACAATGTTTTCCTTTGAGCCTGAACAGTGCCCAGCATAACACCCAGGGAAGTGTCAATAAAGTGAGGCAAAGACTTTGACAACACTGTAGTAATTGGAACAAGGGCCAAGTGGATCTCATTGACTATGAGATCCTTGATTGGGGTTGTTAACCTGGGCCAATCAGGGAGCCATAGCTGACAGATATAAACAGGAGATTCAGAAAGTCTCCTCATTCTAGGGACTGGCTCTGAGCTGGCTGGTCAGAGCCCATGTACTGTGCTCATGTAAATAAAGGGTAACTTGATGACAGGATACTGGCCTCATTGCAGTTATTTCAACATGCATTCCATTCTATCATTTACCTGCATTTGCTCACAACAGAAACTATGAAATTTCATGTTTGCAGTATCCCTTCAAACACTGAAGTTGAAATTGACTCATATGGATTATTTTCATACTCGTTCAACATAATTGGTCATGAAACTCAGAATAACATATTAATGCAGTGGCTATGTTAAAAAAAAACCACTGGCAGATGCATTTCTGTATATCCTGCAATACCAGACCAGATCATTTCCAGCACAGTGGCAGTTTAAACTTCAGCCCAATGAGTCAAGTCCATGTGTAGTCCTTAAATGAAATGGGCTTAGAATACAGGGAATATTAGACAAAGCACATGATTAGAATAAATCCCATTTTAAAAAAAACTCGTATGTTTGCTAATATAGATAACAAAGTATGGAGCTGGAGGAACACAGCAGGCCAGGCAGTATCAGAGGAACTGGAAAGCTGACGTTTCGGATCGGGACCCTTCAGA